ACACTGCTTGCATGGTTTATGCACAGTAATGCTTAACAGAGACACAGGCATATTTTTTGTAGTAAACAGGAGCAGATGAGGAATTCAAAACACTGTAAAAACATCTTCCAGGTTACCATTGTGTTACACCCATATTTGTTCTGCTTGCAAAGATGGGGTGTGGAACTTCTTGCAGCAAGAAAATAATGCACCTTTTTCTACAATACAAAACCAAAAACAAAAAAACTCCAACTCTTTTCCTCATACTTAAACTAATGATTAAATTTCTTCCCCCAAGAAATTAAATCTGAGTTCAGTCAACTGCAACCAGACAAAGCTGGCCATCAATCTATGTCAGCATTTGCTAATCACACTTACGAGAATGAGTATACTAAAGCATTACCCTTTTTCAGATATATGTTACCAGAAGGGTGGAAACAATTTCTGAATATAAATGCTGAAGTTGGGGATGGTAAACGAAGGTAAGGTAAACCTGAAAGAGAAGTATCAAGAATAGTCCCTGCTAGGAAAGCAAGGTAAGATAATCCCGAGTAATGGAGCACTGGGTCATTTTTCTGGTGCTTATCCAACTGCTAAAGTCCTCAAGGAAAGGAGAAAGAGGCTTCTTCAGTAAGTTGTACAGTGTGGAAATTGGTAATTTAAGGTGTCGGGTGCAAGAAATGTGTTTCATGACTTAGTTTTTCTTGGGTGATTTTCAGCATGCAACAAAACCTTGGGGGAGGTACCTGGATCTCAACAGTTCTTAATGAAGTTTGTCTGGTCAACTTGACGTGAAAGCAAGGAACGAGCTAAAGAAAGTTAGCTCTTGACAGAAATCCTTCAGTTGTGCATGCTAGCACCACACTGTGGGGTTGAAGGTGTTAGAGGTACAGAGTTTATGCAGAGGGCTTATAGGGTGCTAAAAGCTCTCTGCCCCAACCCACAGCACATGTAGGCAATCTCTTTGAAACAAGCTGGTACTCTAGAGCAAATAAAGACATGGCTAGCATGCCTTTCTGCCCCAGGACAGAAGCAGGACCCACTCAGGAGATCTGACATTCAGGACAGTGCAAACATTGTCACTGAGTGCAGACTGCAATACCCGTTCTGCCTATGTTCTCACCTTAAAGACATTTACACCAGGTAAATGCTTCTCGTGTAGCGCTGAAAATTGCCAGTAGATGGCATAATGATTCCAGTTTACCAAAAAAAAAAAAAAAAGGTAATACTGGAAGAAACATGCTGTGCAATTTTTGTTAATTCTGCTTTTAGATCTGGTAAAGGTGCTTGTGAAGGAGAGAGCTCAGTGAAGGAGTTAGCTGGCAGTGGCCTTTCACTGGGCCCTGATGCTGAATTCTTCCACCTCCATTCCATTTGTTTATTCTCAAAGAGTTGCTTGCTTGGGTGGGCAGTATGATTTATTTTTAGCTCTGATTATTTTATTTAAAAAAGCACTCGAACACAATTTTATTGGATTGTACAGTACTAAAACTAAAATTGCAGAGTTTCTGTTACTATAATACAAATTTGTAATAAATAATTCTTTCTTTCTGCTCCTTGCAGGATTTTTCACCAACACAATACTCTAATGCTTGCTTTTTTTTTTTTTTTTTTTTCTTGTTTGTTTGCTTGAAATAGAAAAAAATAAAATGTGTTCTGGATGTTCCTTTGTGTAAAATTTTGTCTGCGTTTGGGAGGCATATCTAGTTCTTATTTGTTCTTCACCTCAGTCAGATCCATGTCCTTGGTTCCACAGAACATTTGTGAACCAGCACTGTTTACCTGGGAGGCTGGGGCATACTGGATATTGCCTCAATACCTGTATAGCAGTCAGGCGACTGACTCAAAGAACGTGGTTAAGACAGTAGTCAGATGACCAAAGCTGTTCCATGCTTGTCTGCTGCAAGTCAACAGCTCTGCATATGACTGGCTGAATCACACAGGAAACAGATCCTGGGCTGCTGCTGTATGTGGTCCAGTGTATTGAAGTAAACCAGCATCACTTACAGGACCTTGTTCATTTCCAAAAGCAAATTAAATATTATCCAAATAGCTATTAGCTTCACGGAAAGAGAAGTGTTCAGAGCGATTGCACTGAAATGTTCGAAGGTGAACTGAAGTTCATGAAAATGCTTTGTTAATGGTGAATTATAATCAAAATTTGTATGTAGCAAGTTTTGCTAGCATTCAGACTGCGAAAGATTCAGCACAAAAGTAAGTTCTAAGTGATACATTTTGGTAAAATTCTTTTCCTCTTGGGAGAACAAACTTCCCTGCAACTTAAGACTATTCACCAGTATCCCAGGATACACAATTCTTTTAAACAGCTATGATACTCATGGATTTTTATGTTGCATTCAGAGAGTTCAGAGGGATTTAGTGCATCTCCGCTGCTTTTCAGTTTGTACGTGAAACCAAAAGTGACAAGAATCTGGAGATATGGATTTCAGCGTTATCAATGTGAAGACATTACATTAGTCTAGACCTCCTCTTTGTTCAACCCATTAGGGACTGTCAGCTCTCATCCATCTGTCTGACGGGTCTGTAGAATTAATGACAGATGGTTGAAGTAACCCAACCAGACAAAAGTGAGAATGTGCTTGTGAGCAGGGCAGAAATTACCAGGAACTTGCCAGTTTCTAGGTAGCTATTACTCAGGGAATGAATCCATCAATGAAGAGATAGATACAAAGCATGGAGACTAATCTCGATTGCACGTTCAGGAGCTGATGAAATGGTTCTGTTGTTTCAAAGTGAATTGAAACTGTTGCTTGGCAGTTTTATCTGTCTTCTGATCAGCCATTCACTTGACACAAGGTTGCAGATAGAGCTTTGGCAATAGTGAGACTCCTTCCAGAAAACAAAAATAAAATAAAATGAAATAAAATAAATAGATAGGACCTCCCAGATAAAGTGCTAAGAAAAGCACTAGTTGATGTTATTTTGATAAATTTACAGATGGATATTTTTGTTTCCACTTGTACTACTTTGTTTTGTGTTTTGTTCTTTTTACCTAGAAGGTAAACACCTGCAGCATCATGATATCAAAGCTCACAACTATCATTGTGCAATCTACTCAAGTTCAATGCTAATTATAGCTAATCTTAATGGAAAAGGCGGTAATCAACCAAATTAATTATTTTCTCAGTTGTGTGCCCTTCAAAATGTGGTAACCAATGTTTCTGTATGAAATACAGCTTCTAATATATAAAGAAGTTGCACAGTGAGAGCAGGACTGTTTACCTAACATTAAAAAGGTTGCATGCCAATATAGCTATTAGAAGCTTTGCATGTATAAAAACAAATATATGTATCTGAAAGCTGAGCCCACAGTGAGAATTTCTATGTGAGGATAGGGTCCTAGACAAGAGGTTAAGTGACTTGTCAGTTTGTTAGCTGGGTGATACAGGGAGAAGCTTCTTGGATTAAATAGAGTGTGAAATAACAAATGTGATTTTCTTTTATTTGGGTTCACCAGGCTTTAAACTTTTAGATAACTATATTATCTAGCCTATAAAAATAAATTATTTAGCTCGTTATGCTTGGTACTTACAAATATATGGTTGAGGAACTCCTTAAAACTAGGAGGCAGGACCACTCTATGTGGTCTGACAGCATCCCAATACAGCTCCTCAAAGACATCTAAGAAGTAGTGTTTCTACGTAACTGCATATAAAAACTAGTAATATGAGATGTCTGTATGAAAAGATGTCTTTCTGGTGTTACACTGGAAATAGTATTGTTTCAATCTTTCTTTAACACAAATCATGCCATTTGGTGATTTTAAGTAGCTCTTTTATTAACAAAATATTTAAAAAGTCACAATGAAAGTGATGTAGTTTAGAGAAGCTCCTTCTAACATCAATTTCTAGAATTCTTTCTACCCCCGAAACTGCTAGTGTTTTAGATGTTGTGATTTTATGTGACAGAAAAACCTCTTTAATCTTCCTAGTTGTCCAAAACAAATACGCAGCTCAAAGATAGAACTGGAGAAATAATTCACATTATTCCACTCACATGGAGTGACATTTCAGAATCATGTCTGGCGCAATACAGTGTTTTCGTTGAGTATCAGCTGGGGGCCAGGCTCATAATCTCTGAAGGTAATCATGCTTAATAATTAAATAATATTTCCAATGTGTTCAGTAATTAACTCTGATGTTAAGTAACACAGGTAAAAGAGGCAGGTGTAGGCACAACGTGACAGTGAGTAAGCATGACATAATAGGACATGCTATGCAGAGGGGAAACGGGGGCAAGCTGGGTATTACAGCGTGTTCTTGGCTTCTCCACTGAAACTGTGCTCCCAGACTAAGGGCACTCTGTACTGGGGCACTGCCAGCGCGCTCCTGCTCAGCGTCAGGAACAAACCGCGCTGATACACAGTGGGTTGAAGGGAGACGCTCCAGGCCTTGGTTTAGTGACAGATCTTCTCTTGCTTTCGTAAACTTTTATGTAGTATTTTCCCGGGGGAGAGGTGCTTGACTCAAGCCGTAACAAAATTTAACTTAAAGCTAAAATGTGTTAATTCTGGGTAGACCCCTCTGTAACCGAAGATGCACCCACTCAGTGCGTGTTGTGTTCTTTTATTTCACATTTGTGTCCTGCCACACTTTCAGTAGCAAATTATCTTAGCCTTTGTTTTACTCATAAACTGGAAAAGAAAAAGAAAAAGAAAAAGAAAAAGAAAAAGAAAAAGAAAAAGAAGAAAAAGAAAAAGAAAAAGAAAAAGAAAAAGAAAAAGGCTGCGTGTCCACCCTCGCCGCAGTGAGGGGCAGCCCGGCGGCGCTGTGGGCAGGGTGTGAGGGCGCCTCACGCAGAGCCCGCCCTGGAGGCGGCGCTGACTGAGGGGATGGCGCCCGCCCCCCTGCCCCGCCCCCTGCTCGCTCCTATTGGTCAGTGCTCCTGACGCAGAGTGCCGGCGCCTCACTCTCCCGTGTGCGCAAGCGCGCGGCGTCCGCCCTCTTTCCCCGCCGCCCGTTGCGCACGCGCAGTGGGCTGACGGCCCGGCTCTCCGTGCGGGTAGCCTTAGGGCCGCGTCGCGTCGCGTTCTGCGCATGCGCCTCGGCGGCGGCGGCGATGGCGGCCGCGGCGGCCATGTCGGGCGCGGTGCCGCTGTGGCTGCTGTGGCTGTTGGCGTCGCCGCTGCTCCGCGGCGCCGGGGGCTCGGAGGCGGTCGGGGCGGCGGAGCCGGCGGGCGGCGCGGGCCCTGGGGAGCGGTTTAAGATCGAGGGCCGGGCCGTGGTGCCGGGGGTGAAGCCCCAGGACTGGATCGCGGGGGCCCGAGTGCTCGTGGACGGGGAGGAGCACGTCGGCTTCCTCAAGTGAGCGCCGGGGCAGCGGCAGCGGCAGGGGCAGGGGGAGGGCCGGGGGCCGGCCGCGACATGGCGGCGGCGGGGCCCGGAGCGGCCTCCCCGGCCCTGCTGGCGCGGCTGCTGCCCCCCGCCGGGGCCTGGGCTGAGGCCGTTGGCTCCTGAGGTACCAGGGACTGGAAGGGCTCAAGTGTGAAGAGCACCTCGGTGTTTAGTTCAGATGGGTTACTCTAAACTGTTCGGGACGCAGGTTCTGCAACTTCTTAAACGCCCTTCTTACAGCATTTATTTACTACGCAGAAATGTTTGTGGCAGAAGGTTGCAGCTGTAGTTATATGTTACAGCGCCTGTGAGAAGCCTTTCCACCGTGCCAAAGAAGGATACTTAAAAGTGTATTTATAACATATATGTCCTTCATACGAGATGGTGCAGTCGCATTTGGAAGCTATAAAACGTTGCCTTACCTCACTCAGTTCAGGTAGCAGTGGATATATTCAGATTACCTAAGGATCTGGAGATACACAGAAAACGTTATTAGGACTAAAAGTTAAATTCTTTTCACAGTTTTAACAGTAAAAGCTAATTCTAAAATCTGTGTTTTTAGTGCAGTATAATGCATTTTATTCTTACTTCATGTATAAAATTGGGAAGGTTTACATGGAATTAGAGATTTACCAGGTCATTAATATCGGTCACCTCTAATTATTTCCTCTGTAGTAAAAGTTGTACTGAACTTTGACCCTGTTGATAGGGTAACACAAAAAATTTTGCCCTGCGAAACTAACAGAATCTTGCTATGTAGCACCTGATAGATCAGTACAACCAAGTTGTAGGAGACTTGCATTTTATTTATGTGTGGTGGAGCTGATGAGTTGCCTGGAACTGCTGACTTTCAAAATAATAGATTGGAACTGGAGTTGTCCAAAATATAAATAAATAATCTTAGTTAAAAGCATACCATACTTATGACAGTGTAAACTAGTTATCAAGCTCTTTTAGTTATGTTCATTTGGTACAGTTAGCAATAGATTTATCAGATTATAAGATAATAAAACAAAAAAATTAATGTTTGAGTTTTTCAATTTGATAAACGTATATGTAAACACTGGGCAAAAATAATAGTACGCTTTGGCTAAGAAGCTTTAATTTTTGATGTCGTGTTTTGTTTGCTTGTAATAAGCAAATTATTATAAAATAATTTGCATTATCAGAGGATAAATTTGTCACCATCACTCAGGCAAACTTTGATTTTTAAATGGATGTCAGTTCATTTATCACAAAGAGGGAAGTAACTATTTGGCATTATAAAGTTACTTCTAAATAACATTTTTATACATCTTACTGGTTTCCTCACTGTAGTGCATACTAAACTTTTTTCTTCCTAAAAATGGTAATGTTTCATACCAATATATGAAACGAGGATTTGCCTTGCAGTGTAAATAAATCTCAACTTAAAACCATATTTCAATTTTATCACAATCATATTGTATAGAATGGAAAAAATAAAAGGGAATTCCCAGGGAAAAAACCCTTACAGCAGTTGCAAAAAAGATAATTACGCATTTTTAGTAGTTAAAACTATCACAAAGTATTAGATAAACCTACCTACACATTACTGTTTATATGCTTCTGTGGGAAGTGATGTGCGTCTTTGAGAGAGAACTGGTAATGGCAGGAGGACAAAATCCACTTTTACGAGGGTTCATTTATTTGTTTGCTGATGTGAGTTTCTTATGTGTTGGGTCTTCCTACTTTTTTTTTTTCCCCCTTTGAAGAACTTATTTGGTCTTAACTTTGAGTCGTATTTTTAGGGGAAGTACCTTTTATGTTAATTTTAGAACAGTAGAGAACACAAAGTTTTTCTTTTTGGAAGCTTCTGGAAAGCACGTAGGAGGAAACCTACAAGTTTTTAGACTTTAATTTGATGACAACTGGTGCTGAATCTTTCAAGTATCTTTTCTCTAATATTTTCACTGAATATTGAAGTTTCATATTTTAAAATAAAAGCAGTCTGTCTGAAAACCCCTTCTGTGTTCATGTTCAGAGCTCTTAGTTTCCTTTTTGTTGTGATAGCTTTCCAGCGTGGGCTAGTCCTAAAAGAAGCAATTAAAATTAAAAATCTCTATTTTGCAGTAAGGGCACAAACCGCGGGTTTTGTGCTTTGCAAATCATCTTTAATGTCTTCCCACACAATGTAGGATGTCAATTTGTTTTTTGTTTTTACTTTTTTTTTTAATTCCAGCAGAAGTACTGAAGCAAAGTAAACTTCATTGTATGTATTTTATCATTTGAATAAATGAAATTAACTATTTCAAATCTTACTTAGACTTTTGAATTATTCTTCCAGCAAGACAATAGCTTAAGCACATGAAGAAATCTTTAATGTGACTGGTAATTTCTGCTGTTGTTGTGGCCCACGTTAATGATCTTCGGGGGCTTGATATTATGAGTGATGATTTATCTTAATTTTCCTTTTGGTCATTGTTACTATTTAAAGACTTTGAGTATAAAGTGATAATTTCTTTCTTTTAAAAACAAACAGAAAGACCAACCACCCTTATGCATTGGTTGAAATTCATTGAAAATGTTGAAATTCAGTGGCAGTTATTTTTTTTCAGGACAGATGGAAGTTTTGTCGTTCATGACGTACCTTCAGGATCTTACGTAGTAGAAGTGGTATCTCCTGCTCATAAATTTGAGCCCGTTCGAGTTGACATAACTTCAAAAGGCAAAATGAGGTGAGCCTTTCCTGATTTGCTTCTGTATTGATCTATTGTGTGCCTGACAGCACGGTGTAAAAAGTAGTGTAAACTGTACTGTTGATCCAGTACTTGCATTTCAGACCATGTGTTTCAGCTTCTTTTAACACCACTTCTAGAGTACATTTCTTAAAATCCAAACACTGGTTTCTTTTTTTCCTTTCCTATTCATGCCCTTAAAATAAGAAATAATGGATAGATGAAAAAGGACTTTTATTTGCTTTTGCTGTTTTTTTCATGCAGCTATCCTAAAATAAAATCTAGACAGATGCCAAGTAAACTACTGTATCTTTGAAATACTTTTTTATTTTCTGGTATGTGTTATGTCAAGATTAGAAATAATGAAGGGCCAAGCTTGTTTGTAAACTCTAAAACATTTTTGTTATATCTCCATAAAATCCTTGCAATTACTGGCAAGTGCCAGTAGTTGCCTCTCTGCAGTGTTTATTCAACATTGTTAGCTTTTTTTTAATGTTATGACCAGATACTTAATTATGTGTAACTGCACGCTGTTCAGTAAGTCGTACAGAAATATGATTACTCGATCTAACAGGGGGCTTTTGGTTCAAATTAAGATGCTTGTAGTTCATCTTATTTTGTATAGGCATATATGTGGTATCTTACTTGAAGTTTGACTTTTTCAGTGTCTTATAAAAGATAAAGTTAAATTTTAGGAGTACAAAGGCCAATATGAACATAGCAGCAGTATTTTTAGGGGAGGTTAAAAACTGAAATCTCCAACTAAAGCGAGAGTTAAGTAGTTTACATACAATAGCACAATTTCTGCTTTTTTTTTTTTTCCCCAAACTTTATGATTTTCATATTTTGTTAGGTAGTATCACATTGGCATCAATTACAATAAATAAGGAAAAAACAGGATAGTGTGTATAACGTCACTTTGCATTGCTTTGGTATCTGAGGAATGGAGGTAACAAATTTGACGTGAAGTAAATTGCTTGGATATGTTTGCAGAGCCAAAACATCAGTAGGCTTGACATCTCTATTAGTCAAATACATAGAAACTGTAATGAGGAATACAGTTGGGAAATGCATGAAAAAATGTGATATGTCAGTTGGGCTTTCTAAAGGGAAGTTCTGCCTTAAAAAAGAAAGTACTAAATTCTTTGAAAAAGGCAACAGCATATGGAAAATATGTGGTTGATAACACCTATTGAAAATCTTACATTTCTGGAGAATAAAACATAGCCATAAGGTAAGACATTCCTTCGCTGAATATTTGATTAAAACTTCAGAAAAAAATGAATTATTTCTCTTGTAATGGACTGAAGTAATTTCTGGAGTTGCAAAAGGGGATAAGTATTTATAATATTTATAAGTCATAAAAAATAGTTGAATAGTGACAAAATTAAATGATAGTACAAAGTTACTAGCTAGACTTCAGGTCTAACTCTGAAGAACTATGGAAAGACTTTACAAACTAATAGAAGGTTGGTAAAATTCTGGACAAAATTTAGTATTGTTAAATGCAAAGTGATGCGCTTAGAGAAAAGGGTGGTATTAACTCCACATCTAAACATTTGTTGCCCCTGAGCAAACTGTTCAGCTTAAGCTATGTTGTTCAAAGCTGTACTATACGTTTAAGTGGAGTTTTTTTTTCTTGCTTTTTACTATGGGGAAAAAATATTTTGCAGAAATCATGTATGAACAAATAGTTCTGGTGTTTCTAATCCATAGGCCTGTTCTCCCATATGAAAGTTTTCAGTGTGCTTAATAGCCTGGAAAAAAAAATCAAGTATTATTTGATATATTACTTGATACTGAGAGAAATCACTTTATGAAAAACGAAGTGTAGCTGACATTGCCTAGCAGATAGTTTTGTAGTCTGTTTTTAAAATCTTGTTTTGAAATATTGTTATTATTTTGTTTTGTTAGAGATTGTGCATGTATTTCTAATTATCTATTATTTGTTCATTAGAGCAAGGTATGTGAATTACATCAAAACCTCTGAAGTTGTCAGGCTGCCATACCCACTCCAGATGAAATCTTCTGGACCTCCTTCATACTTCATAAAGAGAGAATCTTGGGGATGGACAGACTTCCTCATGAACCCTATGGTATGTGCAAGCAGCACACACAGGTGAAAAGCATGCTGATCTAATTCATCTAATCGTAGAATCACCTAATTCATTGAAATAGAATAAAGTAGAGAAAATGTGTACAGTTTGTTTTTCTGAGATGATTGTTTTTTTGTGTTTTTTTTTTTTTTTTCCTTGTTTACAAAAGTTTTTCTGTGACCTTTTCTTCCCTGGGTAGCTCTTCTGTAATGTGTGTCCTCTGAAAATAGCCCATAGCCTGGTTCCTTTGATAACATGATGTTCTAGTTGGGTAGAGATGAACACATTGCAAGATTGTAATTATAACAGTTAAAAGACATAAACATTTACTTGAGTGCTCCAAGTTTGAAATCTGTTATATATAACTTCTGGTTTCTTCCCTGGCAGTTGGATTACAGATACTGGTTTACTGACTCAGAATGCAATAGTTCTAGAATGTGGCTGTTTAGTTAAAAGCTTCACGTCAGGCTATCTAAAAATGTCTTGAGCAACACATACGCTGAAGAAATACTTACTGTTTTCTGTGTAGGTGGTGATGATGGTTCTTCCATTACTGATATTTGTACTTTTGCCTAAAGTTGTCAACACCAGTGATCCTGATATGAGACGGGTAAGTAGTTTCAATTGTTGCAGACGTAAAGAACAAAGATAGTAAGATGTTAAGGTACAGGAAAGTGTTAGAAGCCAAAATTGGACTTCCAAGGACATCCTTAATGGAATCATGTGTTCACTTAATACAGTATTGATCTTAAAATAATGAGTTCTAGTATTTCTGGCTAATGAATTTGCTGTTAAATGACACAACACAAAATTAAGTTGTTTTGCACAGCTTTGAAAGCATTACAGCATGACTGGTGTTTTCCAAAGTTTGTTTAAAGCTATAAATACAACTTTTCAAAGACTATTTTTTCTACAAGTTTCCACTGTATTTTTTTCACTATGTTTAAATCTAGCACATCGTTTTTAGACACCATTTATTAAATGTCAGGTGTTTTATGAAGAATATGATGTGGGGTTCTCCTATCCATCAACCAAAAGCATGTAGCTTACAAGACTGTTAAATCCAGATGTTACAGTAGTGTATATGATACAGAGTCTTAATGTAGTCATTAAATTATCTGATTTATTGTCCTTTCACCCTGCAAAATGCCGAATAGCAGAAGGCTAGGACAAAATGGAGATTCAAGGTGTTTGCTAAATCTTCTTTTATTTTTAGAAATATTACTTGTCTGTCTTGGGTGGCTGCTTTTTGAGGGTTTGGTTAATTTAAACTGTACTCTAAATGACCACTGTCTTCAGTAGTGCTTTATGGGTGTCTGGATCTTTTTTCTTTTCAATTTTTTTTCAATTAATATATTAAAAAAAAAAAAAGCGTTATATAATGCACTTCTGGCTTTAATTCTGATTAAAAAAAAAAATATGAAAATGTGCCAGATATCTGCGTCATGTTCTTCAAACCAAGCTGAATTTTTAAAAATTGTTTATTGTTTATTCCTAGTTTTCTTCAACCAATCTAGTGGTGCATACAGACAGGCTGTTCTGATGATAAACAATGAGAAGTTCCAATAGTTTAGTTCTTATTAGCTGACTGATATGATTTCTTAAGGAGAAATTATAAGTTGAAAGAATCTTGCTTGTAATTTAAATTATCTTCAAAGAACAAGAGCTCAATTGTTAATGTCATTCTCCACATGGCCATGTATTAAGTTATTAGGCATATGTCCAACTTCAGTTTGTTTTGGAACTTGTATGATATTTTTCAGGTTAGCTTGTTTTTTCTTTATGGAATCAGCACAGTGCTACTTATATATATGTTATTTAGTAACTGTGCTTGCTGTAGAGGTGTTAAGTATAGATGTAGAGTAGACGTAATAGTAACAAAGGCTGCCATAACTGCTTTTGCTTTGTGCCTTAAAAACAGCTGTTTTCTGAATAATATTTTCAATAGTAACTAGAGCAAGAAGACAATCCCATGTTAAATTAGCAATTACTATAAGTGTTATCACATTCTGGATGTGTGGTTCAGCTGTTATATTCATTAAAAGCATTTCAATATTTGTTTAAATAAGTTGTCACATAGAGCCACTATGCTAAACCCTAAAGTTATGTTAAACTTAGCTAGCTATATGGTTTCATTAGCTGGTGGTATACATTAATAACTTGATATTACAAAGTAGTGCAATAAAAATAGCTAATTCCTTCAAACAAATTCTAAAATTTCTTTGAGGCTTGGCATAAATAATACTAAATTGGGAAGGCAAAATTTAAAAACAGAAGCATGCAACATCTATGAAAACATGGATCTCAAAATCTAACTAAAAGTTTAAATTTTCAAATGGAAGAAAGTAATGGTGAAAATAAATGTTTTAACGATATTCCTTGTCTTTGAGGAAAAAGTTTTTTATTCTGATCAGTTGGTTGCCCTGTAAGGCTACTTAAGACATGGTTACTTTTTCTATACATCAGTGCTTTTAGTTTGGGGGTTTTATGTTTCTGTGTGTAGCTGGGCATTTGGCTGTGGTTGCATAAAAATATGTAGCAATGTGAACTTTGGAGGGCTGCAAATAGTAAAACAGTGTCTGAGAAGTTTTTACATCTTTGTGATATGATTTGATGCCATAGAAACAGCTAGCTAGAATTGCTACAAGCTCTTAAGGTTATCTAATCTCTTCATGCAGGAAATGGAGCAGTCAATGAACATGCTGAATTCTAACCATGAGCTGCCTGATGTCTCTGAGTTCATGACAAGACTGTTCTCTTCAAAATCTTCCAGCAAGTCTGGTAGCAGCAGCAGTAAAGCAGGGAAAAGTAGTTCTGGAAAAAGGAGGTAGTTATGTCCTCCTCCTAGGCCCGAGTTTGCACAACTGTTTATGTGGTATCATGTTTATTTGTCTTGAAATATCAAAAAGCCACTACTGTAAACTTGTATCAGGCACAAAATATGGTATGCTACAACTGTGGTGTGTAGCTTTTTTTTTTTAAAGTCTATATAAGCTGCTTTGTACTTGACAGTAAGCAAAAGAGGACATGGCTTCAGTACTGTATGTGTATAAAACTATTGGTAATACTGAATTAACTATAATGCTCTGTAGAGAATGATATAAATTTATATGATGTCTAAACAGTAATTAATGTCTCAATTGCAAGACAATGTAAAAAAAATAGAAGTGGAGTTCAATGTTAAGATGGCTTTAATGTTTTATATTTTTTGTTGATTTGTCAAATGAACAAAACCTCCTTTCAAAATTGAGTTGTGGGTTTATTAAGTAATCTGTTCAGCCTGCCAGGCGTTACATATAAAATCATTTTATTTTTACATTGCTGTCTGTATACTTCAGTACAAGGGCTTGCCACTTCTACTGCTCAGTTTTACTCTTCCCTTTTACTTCCTATGAGCATTTCTTGGGGAGGAAAAAAAGGAAAGCCTACTTTTCTCAGAGGTTTTCTGAGTTCCATCAAGTTAATTACGAAGGCCTGGTATACATATACCATAACAAATGTTTAACTTAGCTTTTTCCTTTCTAAACCGTGTGTATCACACCTACAACACCTGGTTCTTACTGTTTCCTATGTCCTGTACATTAATCTTATCACTAGCATTTGTGGCCAAATGGAGAACAAAATTGGAAAAAAAAAAATTTTGAAGTAGTGTGGGAAGGTAAGTCCTAGTCATTTTTTAAAATTGTTACAAAGCATATGGCTGTCTTTCTAGAAATGCAAAGTCTGGTAAAGCTTTGTTCTTCAAGAATGCCTCTTTTGTCTGTACTGTCTTTTTGAGCTACCTGGTAACTTTAGGGAAGTTGAAAAACTAGTTGTTTTCCATTACATTAACGTTTTGCAAATTAAAAAGACAGCAGCACCTGTTATACCTCACTAACAACTTTCTTTTTACATAAATACTGTACTTGTTCATTTTTACATTAGCTAACTTTTTAGGTAAAAGTATCCGTGCCGTATGGATGATGTGCTATCTGATGCCAGAAATAGTATTTAACATTGACCTAAAACATACCTTAAGCAAAATCAATTTTAATGCATTTATTTGTTCTGAGTTTCTTAAACACAAGCCAGTTAGGGCTATAAATTGTCTTAGAATACATAGTTAAAATTAAAAGCATGCTGTGAAATGTAAAAGTTGCAATAGAGTAACTCGTTTATATGAAGTCAACTTTGAAGATGTCAGAAATAAACCAATGTTGTTTTTTGGGTAATGAAACCCTTGGCTGTGGATGTTTCACAAGTAGACAAGCTTATTATGAAAAGGAGGAGGGCGTGCTCCCTCAGGTTGGACTGGGTAATCCTGCTGCCAGCTGTATACAAGCTCTGGTATTTCTCAAATTTTTGCCTTTTGTTGACATAGCAGAAAATGGTCTATCTTTCTGCTGGAATTTGGTCACGTTTTACTGAGCTAAATTGACTCACAGAAGGATCAAAGAAATGCCAGAGCCTGCAGAAAGTAAGCACTGGAGGCATGCAGTCAGAAGCAGTAACCATCCCGTGTTTATGGCAGTGCATGTGAGTCGTTAAATCAGCTCTCTGCCTCTCAAGAATTCGTAACTTACGAGCTCATTTAGCCGTATTCTGAATGAGTGGGCAACTCTGAACGAGTTCTGACAGGCTGTGTAGAAGGGAGAGGAGACACTCTGCTGAAGGTTGTTTAAGCTATTAATCATTTGTATAAAATAGCCTGGGAGGTGTTTAGAACAGTTTGAAATAATTTTATTAATGACTTCATCAAAGATTGTGTCCATTCTCCACACGTAAGGAAGACATGTAATGTATAGATATCTAACATCACTGTTTTAAACAATGAAAACATTTGGTTGTGCTTTGTATCTTTTTGATGAGATGGGGATGATAATTGTTAATGGGGTATATTTGGGGGGTTTGGGTTTGTTGGTTCTTTTTGAAGAGAAAGGCTGTTTTGCTGTTCAGATTTGTGTTTGTGAAGAGGACTTAAACTGTAGAAACTAGTATATTAGGTCCTGCTGCATCTGTCTGGCTTTGTGCTGATGTTTAAAAACCATCTGTGTTAAGCGCAAGAGGCTTGTCTTACAAAAGTTGCGGTAAATTTAGTAATGTGTATCAGATACTCAAATGGTATGGTTATGAGATTACCAGAGAAAATCCAATAATCAAATTTTAAGAAGCACCTTTATTAAGCATTTATGTGTACAAAGAGCTACATACTTACTAAAGCAACCTTTTTAAGTAACTACATGTCAAGATTTCCAAAGCCATCTATGCAATTTAAGTATGTATACTTTCCCAATTCAGTACAAAGCATGCATCACCAAAATCCATTTAAGTATCTTCACTTGGTGGTTGTTAATGGACATTTAATTGCATGCAGATTGTGTGTGATCAGCCACTGTGATTACCTCAGATATTGTCTAGTGCTTCCTGTATAATTTGGAAAGGAATCAAAGTAAAGGATTTTTCTGAACAGTGGACACTGGTGTAGCTGAGAGGTCTTGGGAAATACATTTTAGAGCTCTGAAAATGTAATGGTAAAACTTTAAAAACTTCAATAAGCAAGGATCTCCCAGTGAAATGGGGGAAGTGAGAGGACTAAGGAGAATCCTGAAGCCAAAATACTATTTTGAGAGAGAGACTCTCAGAGACTCTTGCTTTTTCACAGTGATCTATTGTCCAGTTACCATCCTTTGCATCTAGAAACTTATCAACATAAGCTATGCTCCTGTATGGAAACTGTCAACCATAATACCTGCAATTATTCTGTGGAAAACTAGTGGTGGAGTTCTGCTGGGTTTGTGGGTGGGTTTGTTGGGTTTCTTTGGTTTGTTTTACATTTTGCAGGGTACTTTATAGTCATCTCTTTCTTTTTTAATGAGTTGTCCTAATTGTATTGTGCTTTCTGACAATAAGGAAGGAAGGAAAGGAAAAAAAAATAAATGAATAAATATTACTTTACTAAAATCATGTAAGTATGCTGGTAGCATAAGGGCCACTTGCAATACTGAACATTAATTTTCTCTTTTTTAATTAACTAGATTTCAAGTTCTCTTTTTTGTCTACAAATGTTTGCCTGGAACAACTTCTGTTCCTGCTGTACTCTCCAGAGTGCATGGAGACTGCCTTTCTGGAGTTGTTCTTTGCCTTTGGTAAATTCCCAAACGTATCCATCATAAAAAAAAAAAAAAGAAAAAAGAAAAAAAGTACAATATTTCCAAGATCTTACACTCACAACATTGTCTGTAGGAATAGAATGCAGTTTTAGTCTGTTTTCAGGTTAAGCTGTTAGGCTCCTTGAGGTCACAGTATTATTTTTTGTTATTCTTGTTTCAAAATCTGTCATGAAATCATGAATCCTGAATCATATATCATAAGAAATATTTAAGATTCTTGAGGAAAAAAAACTGTCTACTTTTAAAACCACGTTATTCCTTGAAATTATGCTGGCAGTGAGCCTTGTGCAGTGCTTTGTTTCCCATAAAATTTTGAAGATTTAATGACAACATAATTTTCTCTGTAAGTGGAACTTAGCTAGTTAGCTCTTTTATTGATGATGCACAGAACAGATTACAGTTGAGCTCATTTTTATTAGGTATTTGGTTCTGCATGGCTGATAGGAATAAAAATTAATTAAAGATTGTCATTCAGTCAAGGGCAAATGGTAGTGAATATGCAGCAGAAAGAAAGCTTTTCATGGTATTTTTTTGACCAAAATTGGATTTTGAACAGATTCTTTAAAACTGAATACAAACATTAAAAAGTAATATTAAAATGTGAAATTTGTTGAAAACAGTCCAAGAAAGAGTAAAAAGACTTTTCAAGCAGTATTTTCAGTTTAAAACATTAGAATGTTCTCAGAAGCTCTCTGGTTTCTTTTTAAGAATCTTTTTTGCTCTCTGGTATATGCAGGTGTAGCATTGAGTTGGAGAAGGGAGAACAGGACATTCAAACTCCGCTGATCTGCAGGGAACACATCATGCAGATGCAAGGAGAATCCTGTTAAATACTCATAGCAACATTTCCCATTCATGGAATCAGAACGAAATAAAATTTTGAACATTGTTACTGATTTTGGGGAGTGGGAAGGAGCATTTCATTTCCTGTTTTTCTTGATTTTTCACTGGTGTGGATCAATTTCTTGATTATTCACAGGTGTAGATCAGATTGCTTCGGTTTGGCAGGTGGGAAATGTATGAGCTGCAGTAATAAAAATCTAATTTCTTGACTATCATAGTTGAAAACCTTGAGAGTGAGGAATACCCAAAGAAGTTTGGGATCAAGATTAAGCCTTCTAAAGAGGTTACATTTTTTTCAGCACTAAATACTGTTACACAAAGAGGAGGACCTCGGATGAGAGTTGTAGCAGTTATTAAGACTAACAGTGGAATACGTGCAGCATCCATTGTCATATTTACCAACAGCATTCAGAGAATTAAACCACAGTGTATGTGATTGAAGTATCCAGGTGGTTCTTTCATGAAAATAATTTCTGCTTGTAGCATTGCAAGGGTCCCTGACGTAAGAAGCCACTTGAATCTAGAGATGGCTGGCAAATATTCTTTGAGAAACATCATGTAATCCTCTCATCATTTTTGGATTTGAATTGTAGTGTTGATACTCTTTTGGTTCGGTTTGTTTTCCTGCTGTTTCTCTTCATGTAGTATTTACACAGAGGTTTTTCACTTGCATTTGCCCTTCATTTTTATGAGCACAAGGGTCATGTTTAAATTGTGTAGCAAATTCTATTCAGCTGATGCTGGCAGAAGTAATTGTATACATCACTTGTGCTTTCAAGTGCTTCAGTGGTAGCAGCCAATTATTTCTATCACCAGGTAGCCAGCTGGGGGGGGGAGAGGTCATTTGTCCTGGAAAGATGCGATCAAATTGCTGTGATTTCTTTGTAAGGTGTCTGAAGCTTATTTTATCATAGTTTTTTTTTTCAAACACTTAAGTGTACCCCGAGGAAAGTATCAGGAAGATACAGAGTCAGCCACAATTTGCTGAAAATATTAACAAAATTAAATTTAGAGTTTTTCCTTTTGGGGGGGGGGGGGGAGAGGAAAAAGCCCTGTGGGCCTAGCCTGGGTTCACTAAAAATGGCATCTTAAATATCATGAAAGTAATCTGGTTTCAGCCCACTGTATTAGTATTACATGGGAAAGAAACGCACCTGAAAAATTCTGCCTTTCTTAAATCCGTATTACAAGAAACTTGCATGCAGTCCTTCATTAATTATGTCATGTAGTTGGTTTGAGGCAAGTGAGGTCTGTAATAATTCCAGGAGAGACTGAGCAACCATGAAGGTGACTGTGGAGTCATTAATGTGGTATAAAATCACAGAATGCTTTGAGTTGGAAGGGACCTTAAAGACCACCCACTTCCACCCCCCTGCCATGGGCAGGGACACCTCCCACCAGACCAGGCTGCCCAAAGCCCATCCAGCCTGGCCTTGAACACCTCCAGGGATGGGGCATCCACAGCTTCTCTGGGCAACCCATGCCAGTGCCTCACCACCCTCTGAGTAAAGAATTTCTTTCTAATGCCTAATCTAAATCTACCCTCTTTTAGCTTAAAGCCATTAGCCCTTGTCCTATCACTGCACTCCCTGACAAAAGAGTCCCTCCCCAGCTTTCCTCCAGGACACCTTTAGGCCCTGGAAGGCCGATAAGGTCTACCCAGATCCTTCAAGTTGTACAACACCAACTCCCTCAGCATATCTTCGCAGGAGAGGTGCTCCAGCCCCTTGATCATCATTGTGGCCCTCCTCTGGACTCCTTGTAATACTTCCATGCCCTCATGCTGAAGCAGTGCTCCAGGTGGGGTCTCAGGAGGACAGAGTAGGAGAGAATCACCTCCCTTGACCTGCTGGCCATGCTTTTTTTGATGCAGCCCAGGATGCAAGTGCGTGTTGCCAGCTCATGTCAAGCTTCTCATCAATCAAACCCCTGTGTGTGTATATATATATATATTTTTTTTTTTTTTATTTTTTTTTCTGGGCTCATCAAACTGAGAATTTCCTTTATTTAAAGCCTGAATTACATTCTGAAGCATTCCTTTTGTAGTCTTTCCAATCATTTACTGTGATGGTATATTTCTCTATATGAAAAGCTCCTCCTTTTTTTTTTCTTCTTCTTTTTCCCCAGGCTATGCTACTTCAGTTGTAAGGTTGCTAGAGAGCAACAGAAGTCAGAATCTCTCTGGAAATGAAATGGTTGCCATGACAATGCTCCCAGCTGCTTCTTGCCCCAGATGAGAAAATCATTTTTAGACTCCTATATTACAAGGTTAGGCGACAACATTTTAAACTAAACAATACAGCTAATTGATTAAAATCAAAGATCAATGCATTGCTTGCTAAAAATCTTTTGGCTGATATTCAGCTAAAATTGTTGAATAAAGTATGTTCTGTTACATACTGTTAATTTAGCTGTTCAAGGTTTTTTTATTATTGTTGTTTGGTTTTGATCAGATATCTGAGGTAAAATTGGTGTGTTGACAACAAAAATTTCATCTTATTGAATTTACTAAATGTCTGTAGTAGTAGTAGTGGTAGAAATTATCCCAAAAGGGAAGCTGACTGATACTTAGATAAGTGTTTAAAGTATGACTGAGTTTGGATAATATTTTGTAATGTGCCGAAGTTGGATCAAACCTGAAATGCTGGATGTTTCTACTGTTTATTATCGCGGAAGTCCAGACAATTGATCACAGAAATATTGGTTGCCGGGAACTTCTGATGGTCTCTAGTCAACTTCACTTTGACAGGGATCATCAGCAACACTAGCTTAGGTCTGTCATGCTGTGTCTAGCCAGTCTTAAAAACCTCTAAGCTTGGAGACTTTACAACCTGTCTGAGAAAGCTGTTCCTGCGTTGCGCTCCTCCTGATGATCAAGGTTTCCTAAATGACCAATATGAATCTCCTTTGTAACCTACTACTGGGTAATTCCTTAGTGTCTTTGTTGTCTGGTTAACCAAGCCCAGCTCTTTAAACCTCTCGTTGTAGGTTGTATTCTTAGCCCTTGATCATCTTGGTACCTTTTGCTGGATCCTCTCCAGTTTCCAAGCACTTCTTATGAACTGATGGGCCCCAGAATGGACACAGTACTCCAGGCATGGCCTTGCTATTCGAGGGGTAGAGAGGGATAATAATTTTCCTTTGTCTTTTATACTGCTTATACTGTGACTCATGGTTTGCCTTATTCAGGATGAGAGCATGCTGGTTCACAGACACTAGGTGTTGAGTGTAGCTTCTTGGTCTTTCATGTGGTGCAAGACTCCTACTCAAGTAGTGAGTTAACAGTTCGTACTGGTAATTAGGCTTGCACCACTCTGCATAGAACTTCGCTCTTCCTGTTTTTTTTGTTGGCCACTTTTAAGTCTATCAGTGTTCCTCTGGACTGAAGTTCTACCATCTATTATGTTAGCATCATCCCCAATTTTTCTTAGGCTGTGTGCTGTCAGATCATCTAGTTCATTGATACAGATAATGAACAGTATGAACCCAACTATCAACTCTTTAGACACTACATTTTTTAACTATCTCATTTGTGAATAACTTGTTAATTACTGGAGAAGTATTCTGTCCCTTATTTAATGAATGAAATTGCTAAAATTAGTTTGCTCATATAAATCACTAAGAATTAAGAGTTTTCAGCATATCGTTTAGTTTTTTCACCATTGCTTTCGGGAAGGATTTTGTCAGTTTATCCATACCATCCCTTTCAAATGTATGTCTAATCTTAAAAAATCAACAGCAAAGGTATTTGTTCTTGTGTATTAACAGAGAATAGCAAATAGTTTCCTAAGCATCCTGGTCTACCTCTTTCCCTTTTTTCCTTTTTTTTTTTTTTTTTAAATATGTTGTCTTCATAATGCTGCACACACTTTTCCCTTAGAATCAGGAATGTTACCATGTTAAAAGTTGTGTCACCTAAATTGCTTTCCACATGAATGTTCTCCAACAGTTTTCAATTGCAGCAATTGTAGGTGGCAATTTTTGCAACCTTTAGAATAAAAAATAAGGTGTCTAATCATACTCTTTTCCAAAGCTACCCGAGTAACTGCAGTTTTTCATTACAGCTGTGTCAGCTGACTTATAATCAAACAATTATTTTCCATTGTCTTCAATGATGATGGATTTGGATGTATTCTTCAAGTTACATCCTAATTCATTGTTTTTGTTAAAAGCAAATCCTCTTTGATTCAGATAAGTTTCTACTCCTTTAGAATTTATTCTATGGTTCAACAGGAAGACATGAAAAACATGTTAGTTAGAGAAAATATTTTAGTTTTTACTTCAGAATAAAGAAATATATTTTCATAAAGAAGTCTGAAAAAAATATGAACACTTGTAAAGTCAAATGTTTCTAAGAGGGAAGCTTTTTTTTTTCTTGTTTTGTTTTCTTGTTTTGCTTTTACATTCATTCAAGGATAGATGCCTTGGTTCGTTTCCAAAATAATGGTTCATCTGACAAATAATGAATATGTAAAAAGGGATTTATAGACTGTGTTGAAAATAGTTTTAAATGCAATGTGTCTTAGCAGTTTAAGATCTGGTTCCTGCTTTGTTGGACAAAACACATATTGCACATGCCATTACCAGCTTGGAAGTTCAAGAACAAGTGAAAATAACTGCAGACACTTTTTTTGTTGTTATTCCTGTCTGAAGATACAAAAGTGCATTTAGCTAGGGTTGCAAAGCAATTCAGAGTCAAAAGTTGTTCAAAGGCACAGAAATATTTCTATGGACTGTTTGTTTTCTTTTATTTCTATTAATTGCATATGAAATGCAAATCCTCATATGTTGTGCTTTCACTGAGGATGAATTATTGAACAGAAATCATGCACAGAACAAATCCTCGAGTAGAGGATGTATGGGACTTAAATGCTCCTTAAGATTTAATTGCAGCTTTTTTTTTAGGGATACAAGAAGCATTCAAACTGGGTTGCAGGATAGATCAAGGAGCACCAAAAAGTGTTGATTCATCTTGAAAATGATAAATGCTAGATTAGTCATCATCCAAATAGACAATGCAACTTTCAGGTACAAGAATATATAGCAACAACTAATTCATCTAATTCGTTCATGTTTTGACCTGAATGAACATTAATCAACTCTTGTTAATCCAAATAAACTAAAATACTAACCTACTAACCAACCAGTTCTGCTTTTTTTTTTTTTTCCATCTTCTTCACTTTTTAAAGCTCTGAGATGCTACTGCATATTCTAATGTGAATAAACCTGAAGCAAAAACATGGTTAAGGGTCAGTTTCTTCCTAATACTTAAAAATCAAGTTTTCTTTATGTAATTTTTAAATATGACTAGCAGTATAGCATCTGGTTAATTTACCTGTGTAAAATGACATAGTAAATGTCAACAACTACCTGTTATGTGTATAAGCAACGTAAGTAATGTTCTGAACTAAAGCCTTTTATCCATTGCTATGTCTATTTATTACTCAGAAATTAATTTAGTTACAGTATTACTTTAATCCTTATGGAAGAACTTTGTACTTTATGGTTCATATATACTTACTTGCAAGTGGAACATGTCAGACCAAAGTCCACCAGAGTAAGCACAATGTGCAATATTGAAGATACAGTTTTGCTGCCCTTCTACATTTGAGATAGTGTGTTGGAGCTGATTTATTCACCTGGACTTGAGTAGCAGGCAAAGTACAACTGTAGAGAATGAGCTCATGCATTTGTGTGCACTTCTGTCTTTGCTAAGCTTCACTGAAAGAGGTAAGGTGCCTGCCTAGTGCTGTTTTCCTCAGTTTCTTTCTTAATAACTTATAAAACCAACTTCTCTTCTAGAATTAAATGGATCTGTAAAACATTTCAATGTGTACTGTAAATGTGGGGGAAGAAAAAAGACTGACTCACTCAAAAATACAAAAGGAAAAAAACAGGTAAAACAGAAACTCGATCCAAATACAGATTTCCTAAAGCTAAGTAATGCTTGTAGGTTAGGTTTTGATTTGTAGTCATTTTTTAATAATAATGATAGAAACTTTCAGTGAAAGGGTTACATGACATTGGGAAATGCAAACACAGCAGAATTTAAGTGCTGTAGGGGAACCATGTGTTGAGTTTCATGGAAGGGAATTTTCCAGTTTATTATGACGTCAAATGATCCGCTTTGGATGTAATAACAAATTGTATTTTAATAGTAAATCAGAATTATTACTGAATAGTTTTAGAGTAGAAAATTCTGTTTCACTGGGTTTCTGTATAGTAGGTATAAAAATTAATTCTTAAGCCTGACTTTTATTTCAATGATTTATCTCAAACATTTAAATAAAAATGTGCTTTATAATTCTGCACTCTAGAAAACTGTTTGTTGGATCTTCTGAATCTTCTGAATCAGATTCATAAGGAATGTGGCTCTGTTGCAATGTAAAACACTGTGGAGAAGGGAGTGGGTCTATGTCAGCTGTGCTGATGCTGGCAGGAAATAAACACTGACCAAAGAGCTGCTTCTTACATGTGTATTCTGCTTTCATCAGAAGGGTTTGGCTAGATTCTAAGTTAAAGTGTCCTTTGAGAGTATGGGAAACATATGTTATCCTGATTCAGTGTGAGCTGTCATTGATACTGAAATTCCTCTTCCATCAGACTGAGATTTGCTGGGATGAGGACCCCATGATTTAATACAGTAAGAGCCTAAGCCTTTCTGTGTTTGGATAGAGAGTTACTAGACATGTAACACAAAAAAAGAGGACAAAATGAGGCTCAAAAGTGTTTTGATTTTGTTTTCACCCCCCCTTCAGTCTGGGTTAAGCCTGTAACCTTAAAGCTACAGATAAAAATTCATCCAGAGCATAGTCCAGAATTGCGGAAGTACGTTCTCCAGCACATAGAAATACTCCTCACAGTACTAGGAAGCCTTGATTTTGAGCATTGTTTGAAGTATAGACAGACAGTCAGCAGAGCCAGTGTTCCTGTTTGTGCCAGATGGTCTGTTAACATCTCTGTTTCCATATAGTCTGGACTTGGGGAATAACCAAACTTTAATTCTGATAAATGTGTTTTTAAGTTTTTGTCTTTACGTTATTTTCTATGACCTTTTGTCATACAAAATTAGATTGTATTTCACTGCCCATCAAGGCATAAGGTAACAGAAGTGAATATGTCTAAGTGACACAGCAGTGGGCTGCACGTCAGCTGGAAGTAGAGTGTAAAACATCACGGGAGGGAGATGGCAGTGAAAGATGGAAGAAGCCAATTTTTACAGAGGCTCACTGTATGGAAAACAGGTGTTTCAATCTATTTCTCCTTCAGGACTTTCAAACTAAAAGTCATAAATCTTTCCATTTTTAGTTCCAGTCTGTGTTATAGCTCTGCATTGCTGCAGGAGGACTGACTCAGAAGATGCTGCTGAAGAGTTCGGTGGGATTTGTTCTGTTCTTGCTTTTTCATTTCACTGTGTCAGTGATGACCAAAGAGGCAGTGGTCTTGGCTAATGCCCACCTTCTCCCTCAAAGAGGCTATGAGAGACTGGCTAACGTCGATGAAAAAGGTACTCATGAAGAGCATGAGTGAAATGGATGCATGCTGTGTTTTACTTTGTTGCTTTTTTGGAACATTTTCAACATACTTGAAAGCTTGCTCTGCAATGATACTTTGAAATATTAACATGTCCTGCCACAAAATCCATAATCTTTAAAGCCCTTGCTCAGCTGCTGCCTAATTCAAGAGAAATTAACCGTTTAAAATATTCATCTAAATATTTTGAGACGATTAAAGATTTATTCTTTTAACCATCATATTTTGATTATATCTAACACCTCAGGACCTAGATCTCATTGATACTTTGAACTGAGACATTGCTCTGCCCATCTAGCTTGTGAGGTCCAATATGGTAAGTTTTCTAATGCATTTACCTGAGTAGATCCCACATAAAATGCAGCCAAAAGGAGTACTGAGGTTGGTTCATTTTCCTCCTTGACTTGACGGCAATTGGGCATCTATAACGTTCACTTTTCAAGTGAATCCCGTAAAAAGCCAGCCAAAGTGTTTTTTTTTTTCCAGTATGTTAACAGAAGCTGTTCTGTTTTGCATTAATAATATTCGCTAAGAAAATACAAGTGTTACTGTATACATTACTGGCCTGAACACCACGATATACTTAAATCATCATTCTGTATAAACTTGCAGGATCAGGTCTGTCTACCAGTTGAATGCTTTAAAAATGAGGGCCCAGAGTCATGTACAAAGTTCTTCTGTCATCAGGGTATTTTATAATTTCTTGCAGATAGTATTGAAATTAAGTATTTTATTCCAGGCTGGAGATGCTATTAGGCAATGAAAGGCCTAAAAGTAAGACCACAGAAAGCTTATATACTTTTGTAAAACTGCTGAGTGGCTTAAAAGCACCAGCAAACTTCTGAACATAAAATATAAAAGGCTATTCTTAATACAATAAGGATACTATGAATAATAGTATTTTAACAGGTGTAGGACAGCTGGACTTGTACAAAACCTATGGTACAATACTTAGTATAATAAAATTAAATCAGAGAAGATAGTAGTACACTGTCATTTCAGTAGAAACTGAAAAGGGCAATGACGTCCATAGAAAAGTAAACAGTAAAGTCAAGGGGAGACTGGAAGTGTTTACTTGTAAGTGAACTTTTCAGTATTATTATTACCTATACTGAAACAAAATAGGAATATGCTGATAAAATTTAATGATAACATGATGTTAGAGAAATGTCAATACAGTCAGAATATTGCACAGGAAAAAAAAATAAATGGATGTTCTTGAGCAAGACCAATGGGATGAAAAATAAAGTACAAAATTCCAGATTTTACTGCGAGTGAGGATTTACCACTTACAAAGATCCAAATAGACTAAAATTTAAATTAAAGAAAACTAAGAGCTGCAAATTTAATCGTACATCAGAGATATTTCTAAAAAGACTTGGGATGAATCAGTGGCACCATAATGGCCATCTGCAATACTGCGTAAAAATTTTATTCACATTCTAGGAGATGAATTTGCAGATGAAAAGCTAATAAAACAACTAAGGAATGTAAGATATATCTTACATTAAATATTATCAGAACTTGTTATCCTTACAGGAATTACCCTAACAAAGTAAAAGCTCACTAAAAGTACAGTTGTCCTCACAGTACATTATGACTTATAACCAGGGAATGAGAATGTGTTCAGTGAAACAATCACAAAGGGCTCTCCAGCCAATGATTCACACAAGTTGTTTTCCAAGTTTGTATTTTAAAGTTTTATCTTTGGAAATATTTTTACTTATTTGGTTTATGACTTTGTAAAAGAAATTAGGAGATTTTGCCACACTGAATTATTCCAGCTTCCCAGAAGAACAATTTGTTTAAAAACAAAACAAAACTTAATTTCTAAGTGAGGTATCTAAATTCCTATTGGTTATTGTCAGGACAGGACTTCGGAGTTCCTGTGTCTGAAAAACTGTCATACTATATAACAGATGGTCTGTAGGAAGTATTCTGGTAGAGTTATTAAAGCGATTATGTCTTTGTTAAATACAAATTACATATTCTCTGTTAAATATAAATTAGAAGTATTCCTTAGTATAGTGACATAATGATGTGCCTTTCAACTCTTTGATGAAGTGAGTAACTACAAGCATGTTTCTGAGTAATAGAATAGACACTGAATAACATCCTACTTTAAGAAAGAATTTCTCTGTACGTGAATTCATACATACACAAGTGTGTTTTACAGTAAATTATGTTCTGGTTCTTAGAAATCTCAGTCAATTCTAAATCGTACAGCATCATGCCTTAGTCTTAGAGCTGCTTGCTATTATACTATAGTAAAAGTAACCGTATAAGCAACTTACATTTAAAAATACATTACATATATATTTCAGACCAATAAAGAGGGTCACCCTAAACCTTATATGCTGTTCTTACCACCTCTGATAAGAACATGGATAGGTGGTATAATGGAAAAACCACTTTCACCTATTTTCCTGATGTCATTGTTCAGCACTGCATGGTACTGTAGCTTTATCTGCAAATCAGTGGTAAGATTAATGTGGAGATTGAGTGACAAGAACTGTTGCCAAGAATACTCACAGATACTTGTAAGTTTTGTATTAGCAATAACTGCTTTGATAGCTTCCCTTTTTATCAGTGCATGGCATATTGATAGGAATTTAATGCAACGATGGTACAGATACCTGAAGCATAAATCAGTTAAAGAGAAATTAGCTTTACCCTCAACAAATAAATCTATCTCTAGTTATTAGACACAGTGGTCTAGCACAAGGCATATGGAATTAGTAAATTGCTGACTATTCAAACTAGAGAAACTTAGGAGAAAAAGGATCAGTCTGTACATACATTTTTTAACCATATTTCCATCATAAATGCAAAACCACACTTCCGTATTACAACAGGATAATAAAACCTTATTTGAATTTCTGAAATCTTCCTGCATGTTCTGCCCTCAAATCATGCACCTTTAGCCAAGTAGATGCCCATCAGCTGGTCTGAAGTCGGCCTGAGACCATTTCCAGCCAAATCAAGGCGATCATGCACTCACTGTAAAGAACAGAGTTCAATATATAAAATTTACTAATTGAACAGAAATTTACTTTAAAATTCTATTTTTTTTTCTACTTAGACTATCCAAGGGATTGTTTTGAAATTTTTCAGCGCTCCAAAGGAAATTGCAGAGATGGTCTTTACATCATCCAACCAAAGGAAGACCCAATTGTTGTCTCTTGTAATATGCAGGATGGTGGCTGGACAGTAATTCAGCACATTACAGCCAATAGTACTGTCGACTTTGATAGGACCTGGCAGGATTACAAATACGGATTTGGCTCTGTTCATGACAACCACTGGTTAGGAAATGAATATATGCATCAGTTAACAGGAAGCTCTGTGCAATATGTACTTGGAGTTAAACTTGTAGACCTAAATGCTGAAATTAAATGGGGACAATATGAACCATTCCTTATTGAAGATGAGAAGTCTCAATACCGAATCAGGGTTGGCCTATACAAAGGCAACGCAACTGATGCTCTGACCCTGGACACAGAAGCTTACCTCCATGACAACCAGAAGTTCACCACCAAGGACAGAGACAATGACAATTACTTTCAGAATTGTGCCAAATTAGAACACAATGGCATTCCCGGGGGAGGCTGGTGGTACGACGCATGTGCTGGTGCAAATCTAAACCGTAGGAATGTGATATACTGGCAGAAGGACTGCAACAAAAAACATTTGTGCAAGTTTGCATGGATGATGGTTAAACCCATTGACCACAGCCTGTTGTATGCAACCAAATCTTGTCCATGTCAGAAGGAAGAACTGTAGGTGAGCCATGGGTCCTTTGAAAGGAACATGGATTCTTTGTCAAGTGACTGAAGTAAAATCACCCTGATTGAAAAAGTAATCAGCTGGATTATGAAAATGAATTTGGGACTTTGCAAGGCCTTTATGATACCATATTGTCCAGGATTGCACCAAAAACTTACAGATGACTACCAACCACAGAAGTAAGAATAGAGGTGCCTGACTGAAACTGAGGCCTCTAACAAAAGATTTAAATGACCCATTTTATAGAATTTTAGCCTTCAGAGGATTTAGATATGAAATCCATGATATGATGTCTTGTAGTAGATATACACACATTTCAGAAGGTTTTGCTCCAGTATTAATGTTCACTGTTAACTGCACATCTTCGTAAGTCATGCAGGAAGGAAATTTCAAGGGAAGTACCTACATTTGCAAAATGCGTATCAAAGAGTATTATATACCATAGGACAGCATCACACCTTTCCTTTCTACCTTTAGTGAAAGGTATTTTAATATTTGAAATTGGAGTTAGCCTTATCTCCAATAAATAGCTTCTTTTCCCATTCATTAACTTCTCTTTTTCTCTCTACTTTTTAATGCTCCCATGCCCAATGAAGTATTTAGCACAGTCTTTTCTTCCTTCTTATTAGAGCGTCTTGAACTAATCAGCTTTCTCATTAAAAGCTACTAATCTAAGGCTTACAACTCCTCTGAATTTCTCCTCAAGAAACATAGTGAACACTTAAAACAAAAAAAAAAAGTTGATTTTGCTATTTATTTATTGTTTCATTTTCTTCCTCAGTATTACTGCATTTTATTTATCATGTTTTGACTTGCTTCTTTCTGTTCTACAATGGGCTTAAGCTTTCTCTTTTTAATACCACTATGAGATAAGAACAGTGTGTTGGCTTTACTTCACATTTGCTAGCTTCAGTTGTTTTGGCAGTCGACCTTGACGTTATTTAAACCCTGACTTTTGTCTGATCTTAACACAAAGAGAGAGACTTTAAATTCATGATGAATTCATCTGTTTAAAAATAAAAAATAAAAGGATTTCAGTTTTGGTAACCTTGAAGATCTTGTACAGTCATTGGAGTTACTTCACACATTTCTATATCGTTGAAGTAGCTGAATAACATCTGAAGAGGTTTCAGTGTTACATTACACAAAATGTCAGGATTATATTTACAATGTCTTGAATGTTAGCTTAGATATTTCAGTTACAGAAACTCAGGCAAACTGCTTTTTAATTTAAAAGTGGAATCTTTTAATTTCCATTAAAATAATTTACAGAAAATAAATTGTATTGTGTTTTGAGAAGACCAAGACTGGCAGGATTACCTAGGAAGAGAAATTAATTGGGAAATGGAAAAGTCAAAGAAATTTTTATTTTTTACAACACACTGCACCATTTTCAGAAAGATGCAAATATATTATGTGGGTGAGGCCAATATAGCATACATGTGTTTATTGCAGGAGCTGATTTTCCCCCCACTCAAACTGTGTTCAAAAAGAAAAAAAAAGCATAATAGAGGAAGCAATGGGTATTAGCTGAATTGAATCTATGTCATTAAGTCAATTTAATGTGGGTTCTACTGTAACTGTCAGGAAACACCTGAAGTTGTAATATGGATACAAGAAAATCACTGGACTGCTGCTAGTAGTCTCCAATAGCTTTTACCCAAATTCCTGACAAGTTAGCCAGAACACACAGCTGCCAAAAAGGTGTTGTGAAAAAATCTTAACATAGAAGCACACAACTGAAAGCCAGAAGACTCTATCTGATCCTCAAAGGCAAAAGACCTGCTCGGCAGACCCCTTGTCCTGCTTGGAGGGCTTTGGAGGAAAGTAATAGTGGAGATACGCTGCATGAACAGCTCAGGCCCAAATCCAGCTGCCCAATACTGGAGTTAAGTGGAGCACTACAGACCACTGCTTACACTGGGTTCCAGGATGGGAATTAGATTAGCATGTAATAATAGCTTGTAATAACAGGTCTGCAGGCAAAAACAAGACAGAAAGATCAACAGTTCAAAGAAGGACTTTAATGGAAGTCACAGACTGTGGTATGTTCCATGCTTCTAAACAAAGTAAGGATAGAAATGACTACTTGAACTGGATTTAGGACTAAGTAGTGGATGAAAATAGTTACGAATGTTCCAATCCACTCACCAACAGTTTGTTTTCCTAGAGTTTTTCAACAGAAGGACAAGGAGCTTCAAAAAAAGTGGACTAAATTTTACTTTGTAATTCCTTGGCAAAAAGCTGTCTTCACTGAACGCATTTTTTTCTCCATCCCTGAACCTTAATCAGTGGATACCCAGAACAATGCTAAGCAGCTGCCCATTGACACCAAGTCAGCAGAATCATGGCCTGAAGGACTGGGGCTTCTACTTTGCCTACCGCTATTTTCTTCTCCCTGTCATAACCCTCCTATTGTCTCTTTCTGTCTTGCCTTTTCTGGGCAGCTGCCTCCTGCCCAAACTTGAAGAAAGGAGGTGGGTCCTGTTTTTCTGTCAGGAGTGTCTGACAGGAATATATATATACATTATATAATGTATATATAAATATATGGTCAAGTATCTTTCTAAAATGAGGAGCATTCTAGGAGGCCTAGAACAATCGGTACATGGCTGACTTCCAGCTCCTGGCATACCTGAATGGAAGGTATGTTCACCTTCAAACCTACAGTCCCCTAACAGAAAAATAGGTTTCTTCATCTCTTTGCTGCTTTGTATTTCTCTAAACTGCAGGAAAAGCAAGCACATTCTTACATAAAATATCAAAATAATCGACTCAGAACTTGGCAGAAGAAATATTTTTCCTAAAATAGTATTAACTGACAAAAGAAGAGAGCCTGAGCCTCTTTCTGGCAGAAATGCTGATTTGTTATTATTTTTCTTTCATAATCGTTCAAGTTTTACAAGAGAAACTGCTTTCTTTTGTTTCAGATTTTCATATGCGTAACCTGAATAATAGATTTTCAGACTTCCACATGACCTTTTCTATGTGTTAGCAATAGGTTTAATTGTAATCCAGGAGTTTAGTAAAAATACTCAGACTTCAGAGGTCTAGTGAAACAGGAGCCACCAGCGACCAGGATTTGAAGTACTTATTTAGAAGAAAACTTTTCAAGAATTCAAAAATGTCATCTTTTTAAGGAAGACTGACTTATTTGATACCTCAACAAATACATGAAGAGACTAATGGCACGTAGTAGCTAATGGTGTAACTACTGACTAAAAGTCAGTGGTTTTATTGAGTGTAATGAGGACTGAAGTTCATAGTCTGATACAGAGCCCAGCAGTGCCTACCAAAACCTGATGAAATACATTTATCAAGATGGAAGAAAAATTGCAAAATCATCCCTTTCTGAAACTAATATTCATAGAGTACATCTAGTTTTACAATACACTACTATCAAAATTTTTTTTTTTTTTCCTAGATATAGATACAGAGTAAATGTTAAAATCTAAAACAATAATTTTACTGGAATGATCAAAGCTTAAGCTTTTATGACACCTAGATGTCAATTGTATGTGGAATAAACCTTCTTAGTGGATACAAAAGTCAGCAATGGAGATTTGGGATGACCACATAAGAAATAAATAGCATCTTTATGATTTGGTAGAAGGAATGCCAAGTATTTAAGTGAAAAGATGCAGAATCCATGTTTTGGGGCTCAAGTTTGGAAGGGCATTTCAAATGGAGAAGCCACTGGCTATACAGAGGATGCAGAAGCATTCTGAAATATGATGGATTCCTTGAAGCCACCATATGCAAACACTGCTGGGAAGCCATTTTCAGAATCATGTTGAAAAGTGATGATTTTTCACAGCTGTTCTTGAGAGGGCACAAGTTTATTTGGAAGAAAGTTCTGATCTGTAGTATTCTGTAGCACAAAATAATGAATGTGGAGTTGTTGTTTTTTCTACTTTTTAAGAAAATCCCTCTGTAATATTAAAAAGGATAAAGCTATGTGAAGTTTTAGAGCAAAGCCCTTTTCAATAGAGACACCTAGATACATACGTCACAGCAAATGGTAACTCCAGCTTGACTGTTACGTACATCTGAGGAAACAGCTAATTGGTTTTTACTATGCCTGAGTGACTCCTTCATATTACTTGTATCTCTACAGAAAGTAGAGAAAATTAATTCCAAATGAAAGTTGTATCATTCACTTTGTTTGCTTGTTTTCTTAAAGCAAACAATTCAGACTTGTCCTCTAAATATTACAGAGGAACTTTTAAAAAGTGATGTCCAAAAATTCTCATTCAAAATGAAGATTTCAGAAATCCCAAACAATAAAGGGGTGATTTGGAGACTTGTCTTTCCTACAATAAGTAAGGAAGTTAACTTAAAAATTTCTATTCAAAATCCAGAATCTGAAAACAGTCCACAGGTGTTCAATTCTGAGTTTCAAACTGAGTACCCAGTTCCATAATAATTGTGTTCTAAGAGAAAACACCATCTTCTAGATTGACATTGGATTAATTAATTGTAATGACTTCTGATTTAGATTTAACATACTTACTACTTATCAGTGCCATTTTTATTCTTTCCAATGTGTGACTGTCCCTAGTGACTTTTGCCTTAAGGTTTATTAGTTCAATTAGTTTGATGTAGGTAATGTATCAAATATGACATGGTGGCATTGCCACAGACTTCTTAGAAATGCCCTTTGTGGGAGATAAAGAAGATCAGAAGAACTCACGTAGAGGTGGAAACTTTTCATGAGGCTCAGCTCTAAAACTGAACGTGATCTACAGGGTGATAAGGAAGCACAATTAAGGATTTTGCCTTGAGGTATGTTCTTATCTCTGGATCTAGACTCCTTCAGTCCATATATCCTAATGCAGGTCATACTATGGGTACAACTGAGATGAGGAACAAAACTTCACATGCAAAATACCTTTCAACAATTAACAGCAGTTATTGATTAACATGCGTAGTTCAGTGGAATAATTAGTAACTGAATTATAGAATTAAGTTAATGGCAAAATATGTTCTATCGCATTTTACAGGTTTGTCATATTTACAGTTTGTGTAGTATTTTCTTTATATCCTTTTTGATTTCATCCTTCCTCAGTTCAACAGAATTCTTCTATACAAGAAAATCCTGTATTTCCATTCTGTCTTGACTTTCCATCATTTGCAAGGCTCTTCATTCTTTGCTAAGTAGTCACAAAAAGTGTATGATTAAAACTAAATTATCTATAAGAGTTTAAAGTTCTGTAAACTCTTACAAGTCTTCATCTACACACATAAATTGTATTTTTGTAAAATTAGTATTATTTTATACTTTATGGGGATCTGGGATATACAGGGAGCCTTGTGTATGTGAAACAGAGACAAAAATGATACCTCAGCTTCCTTTGTGGGAAAATTCGATATTCATGAATATTTGCATGTGCTGGATCTCTGAAAAATTTAGTTAGGGATGTGTATTTACACAACTATATTGATAATACATACATACACATATATACATACATGCATACATATGTATAAATAAAATTCAATTTTGCCAAAAAGTTCTTTTCAAAAGTTCACAATTTTGAACATAATCAATTGAAGGATCAGTAGAAGTTTCATTAAAAGGACAGAAATTCCTGGTACAAAAAAGATGGGGATCTCATGGAAAGAGTCCAGCAGAGGGCCACAAAAATGATACAGGGCCTTAAGCATCTTCCCTGAGAGACCTGGGTCTGTTAAGCCTTGAGAAGAAGACTGAGAGGGGAATCTTATCGATGTTGATAAATATCTTAAGTTTGGGAGACAGAGGGATTTGGCCAACCTCTTTTCACTGGTTTGTGTGGACAGGACAAGAGGCAATGGCCACAAAATGGTTCACAGGACGTTCTGCACCAATATGTGAAAAAACTTCTTTACAGTGAGGGTGACGTAGCACTGGAACAGGCTGCCTAGGGAGGTTGTGGAGTCTCCTTCTCTGGAGATATTCAAGGCCTGTCTGGACACCTACCTGGGCAGCCTGCTCTAGGGAACCTCCTTTGGCAGGGAGGTTGGACCCGATGATCTCTTGAGGTCCCTTCCAACCCTTACAATTCTGTGATTCTGTTAAATACAAATAACAAGATCATTTTACACTGCAAAAGTCCCACAACACTTTTTAAAGGAAGCTTTATAGAGCTTGAACACAAAATGAAAAGTACTAACTCATACTCTAATGAGAATCATGTTTTTTTGTTTGCTTGTTTTTGTTGTTTTTAAGAGTAAACATCCCACATAATAAAGCAACAAACACCTCTTTATATAATTCAAGGTATTTACAATATACCCGGGTTTGGCAATGTAACATCTCACACTGTGAAGTGCTAGCAGCATAGTTTGAGCACACATTTCACAATTACAGCAAACCAACATTGTTGCATCCATCACCATCTATTCTAATACATTTACTGAGCACAGAGTCCATAAACATTTACAGAACACTCCAGTTCAGCAGAAGCCAAAACTAACAAAAAAATATTTCATTTAATTTCAGATGTAGAAGCCAATGCTTTACTTTAGAAACACACCGCAGCTAGCAGGAACTGTTACTACCTCATAAATTTTGCCTTAAACTACAGCTTGTGCCACAGAGGGACACATTCATTTGCTAAAAATCAAACACAGTTTACAGAATGTCTGATCCAATGTAATATAAAATTACCCACTATAACAACTGACTTGTACATAGTTACTGTACACAGGAAAAGCTCTGGATAGTGACAGAAAAAAATGATGAAAGGTTCTTCACAAAGACCCATGCTTTCCTTTAATAAGCAATCGTGCTGATGCACAAAAAATAATAGGCACAGTATGGTGTGTTACAAAGTCAATCATGTGAATTTAGAGAACATATTTTTACATTACTACAGAGCTAATCTTTCACTGACACAATTTCCCCTCTGGAGATTGGGGATAAAAAATATTAATTACTTGTACTGTGATTGCTGACATGAAGGAATTATATATCTGTAGGGAAACATGTTGATGGTACAATAATTTAATAAATTATATGAATGATTTCACTGAGCATAATTGTACGTTCAGGATGACTAACACAATCCCTGAATGTGCAGCTGGGTCACAACACCACTACAATGTCCCACTAACATGTAGATAAAATACAAAGATTGGCCCAAACTTATACTCCAGAGCATCTCACCCTGAATTTTGACAGAAACGCTAAAGCTGCATCTGAACCTTGTGACATGGACTCAGTGAGGTACATGGAGTTCTTTCTCACTTATTCATAAACACTTGTTTACTTTAAGACTTCACTTTCTGCAATTCCTGTCACCATTAACTTTGTTTTCACATGGCCTTTTCTGAGGCTTCATGTTTATTTCCACCACAATGAGCCAGGTTATCAGTTCCATTCCAGTGACTTTGTGTTAAAAGCACCCGTTACGTTTGCACTTACTCAGTTGATGTTGCAGGACTGCCAATCTAACACAAATACCAGACAGGCACATGAGTGTCTATCTATATCCAGAGCCCTGGCAAACCTCAGCTAGTGGACAGATTCTCAGCTCATTGCTATCAGGCCAGTACACACCAGTCCCAGAAGCTGCAGCCCTAAGAGAGGCTGTCTCCAAGCCCCAGTACTGGCACATGTGGCGGACATGGTTCTGTTGGACTGGAAGATATTGACAGGAGAAAACTTACGTTTTCAAACACCTAATGCTGATTTATAAAGCTATTTAGAGATAAAAGTGCTATGAAAGTGCAAAGTGTCTTTAAAGATTTACATAAATAATCAAAAAGTACTTTAAAAATCATTCTTCTTTCAGAAATACCAATTGTCACTGTTTTCAATAATTTCATAATACACAGGAGAATGTGCAGGGCTTCAGTATACATTTTACTTGTGTTGTGCATCATTCCATCATTAAGGGAAACTTTGTAGTCAAGGGGGAGTGCAACAGAGAGATTTCAAAAAGGTTATTCTGTATGTCCTACACTGTAAAGTAGATAGACTGTGTCCATCATGATTTATAGTCAATTCTGATTTGTACTATTGTCACTATCACATACATTTTTAGAATTTCCTTCTGAGGCATTGGGAAATTGAGAAATGCAAATTTGAGTATTTGCTAACTATCACCATTTTTTAGATGACATTGACTTGCGTGATGGAACTGAGATGGGGACAGGATTCTTTATATATAACATACATTATCTATTTCCTCCCCTCTGAGCCCTTCCTCTGTCCCCTGAAAAGTCATCCTTATGGTGGAAATTTTAGAATTAGTACATGCTCCATTGCTTGCTCCATTGAAAAATAAATAGACAATACACTAGAAAGGAACAAAGGAACTGTAAGACGAAACAGTTCTGTGCTACAGGGAAATTTGCTGGATGACCTGATCTGATGACTGGATGGCAATCACACTCTAATATCTATTTGTTTATAAAATACCTACACTTTCTCAGGCTGAAAGAAAGAACAGAAGACCCCAAACATAATATCTTTAATGCAGATCTACTGCATAATCACAAATACCCTGTGCTGTTTACAGCAGCCACTGACTTCTTTATCCCAAACACACTATTTTAATGCACAACATCACTTTTTTGCTGACTGTTTTTTTTTTTTTAACCCCTAGACATATAAAGGAATAGCTTTGACAAGACAGAATTACAGCCCATTTGTTGGGCTATGATGTCAATATCTATTTTTCCCTTTATCGCTTATATAAGAGCAGTTACGGCAGTCTGGTATTACCCTGCCAGTATAGTTTCTCTTCCACTTTTTTCTTTTTCCACTGGCAGAAAAGCAGCATCTTAAAAGTTTTCCTGAAAGTTTTGTTACAGAGAGCATAACAAATGGGGTTAACAGTGCTGTTCACATAGCATAGCCAATATCCAAGGTGCCACAGTGTCAGGGGAATGCAGTCAGAGCAGAATGTGGAGATCAAAACCATTATATTGTAGGGAGTCCACGTGATGATAAATGCCAAAAGAATGGCACTTAAAGTCTGTGCTGCTTTGCGTTCCTTTATAAGAACCATCCTTTTCCTTTTGGTGATTTGGTTATTTATATTTGGATCCATGCTTTTGATGGAAGGATCTTTTGACATAGCAGCAGAACAAGGAGTTATTTTTACTTTACGGCAGCCATTGTTGGCTTCCTGAGTGCCATCAGCCTTAACCACCAAGCGGAATTTATAGGCCACACATTTTTTATTTTTTTGGCCTTTGGCAGGTGATAAAAAATATTTCTGGGCCTCAAAATCATTTTCTTCAGGTTGGTCTTTGACATCAACATCCTTACTCTCCCTTTCATTAAACTCTTCTTCGTTATCTTTAGATGGACTTTTGTAAGCTACTTGGAAAACTGAATCAGTGGCAAGTTTATCCTCTTCTTCTGAAGATGCATAGCTGCTGCAGGTGGTTAACTGGTCAGCCTTAGACCAGTCATTGCAAGTACTCGCTGCCTGAGATGCTTTCACTGTAGCTGATGTACTTCGACTAGATGAAGACCAGGAAGCCTGACATCTCTCTCTTTTGACTAAATTTTGTTGCTTGCAACTGAAACAAGACTTCAGAAGAGCTTTCTGAGGCTTTATCATCTCAAACTCTGCCACAGACTCAGAACCCTGAAGTTCAGCAAGGTCCTTGGTACGTTTCTCCGTCTCTTTATAGATGCGGCAATACAAAATGGTCATCACAGACACTGGAATATAAAAAGCAGCAATTGCAGTACCAAAGGTGATAATGGGCTCATATAAGAACTGTATCTGGCATTCCTCAGGTGGTACTGTTCGTTCACCAACAAAATACTGCCAGCACAAGATAACAGGTGCCCACAAAATGAAGGAAATTAGCCAAGCTAGACCAATCATGATGCCAGCTCTTTTGGGTGTGCGTTTAGCCCTGTATGTTAAAGGCCTTGTGATGGAAAAATATCTGTCAAAGCTGATGACTAGAAGGTTCATTACTGAGGCATTGCTAGCTACATAATCCAGCGCTAGCCACAGATCACATGCCAGACTTCCAAGAGACCAATGGCCTATGAGTATATAAGATGTATAGAGGTTCATAGAAAATATTCCAATGATGAGGTCTGCACAGGCAAGGCTGAGCAAGTAATAATTGTTAACGGTTTTGAGCTGACTGTTAACCTTGAAGGATATCATCACAAGAATATTTCCCACTATGGTTATTAAGCTTACAATTGCAGTTACAGTGGCAATAGTAATAACTTCCCACAGGCTATGCCCTTCTAACTGTTTATGGTTGATGGATGAACTGTTTATAACAGTAGAATTGCTGAATAAATTTACTTCCATTCTTGTTCTTGGTCTATTGTCATGAGGCTCTTGACTGTTGCATATTGCTTTCTGCACTTGAAAATATTCTTTTGGAGGCAGCTGTAAATATCAAAGGAAAAAAAAAGTGAGAGAAAAAGAAAGGAGCTCATTAAATAGCATAGACTTCCATTAAAGTTACCATGAAACACTTGTAAAGCAGTCTATTAAATTGTGTTCTTTCTGCATTGTGATTATTGTTTCTACAGATGTGAACATAAGTAAAACACACAAGTGTATATTCTAGGACAATGTACTCTAGCATCTTATGACATTTCTAAATGCAATCAAAACAATTATTGTTTCATAAGATGTTCGATCATGCCAGCTCTTACATTTAGAATACCTTAGGAGACACTCTACAAGAGACAGACATTTAAAGCTTTGCAGTGTAATGAGACAGTGAGTGACAGTGTTGTTCCTTACAGTACTTTGTAGAAGACACGTCAAGATTTCAGAAATTGTCTTTGGAAAATTTAGGGAAGTCACTGTTTTGAAACCATCAATGGAAAGGTAAAAAGAGGGAACTGAGGATGCATGGGGAGAAAGGAACCATGCTGGCATAGCGGCATCGGGAAACAATCAGGTGTTAGAAGTGCTTGGGGCAATGGATGGGGAACTTTTGAGTTTAGCAAGTAGGCAAGGCCACAAATACATTTTTGGAAAAATAAGTGAGGCAGAAAGGACTTTTCTTAATTGGAAGATCTTGGGACAGAGGAGACTGGTGAGGTGTGGAAGTGCAGTTTGGGTAGACAGGTGAGTGAATGATAGTATTCAAGATGGAAAGGAGTAAAGTGAAGAGGAATCATCAATGGATGACAACAGTGACAAATAATGCAACAAAAATAATTTAATGCTGTAGATTGCATATGCAGCAGAAAGAGAAAACAGAACCACTGTCACTCTATTAATGAATACATCTCTGATGTCCATACAGTCTCTCTAATATGGTGTAATTCTTCACTGCTTTTTTCTCGTTCCTGTAAATGCATGCCTAATTTGGTTCTTTCACAAATCTCTGATGTTTTTCAAGTCATTCCATCATATCAGATGATGATAATCACTTGTTTAATGCTTAATCTTGTTAGGCTGTATAATTTCAGACTAATCATACAATTGTTAGATTTTAAAGTCAGAAATGGAAGATAAATTATTAGTAGTTTATTTATTGGGTATCTAGTCAGTAAAAATCAGGTAAGAAGATCCCCTTTTTTCACAGCAGGTATAGGTTCAGCTAAAATTATCACATAGGTCATATCACATAGGTCACTTATTAAAGTCCAAGTCTTCAGGATTTTCTCTGTACAAGATCTCTATTTTGTGGTTCTTTATATCCATCCATACCCTTACTCTGTTTTTTCATCTTTCATCCTAACTCTCAAAACATTGTTTTGTTCAGTCTTGGCAAGTGTCTTGCATTAACTGCAAGCTTTCACAGCCTGTCCTTTTCCCACTTGTCATCATCTATTTTTGTACCAAGTAGTTGGCTGCTGAATATATCAATATTTTATAGCCACTTGTTGAATTTTCAGAAAAGCATCTAATTTTCTTTCATTGTCCTTTTATGTTATTTTTATTTTATCTTAATTTTCCCCTTCATTCACTTTTGTTATCCAGTATTTCCTACATATCCACAAATGTATACCATATTTCTTCCTATTTCTTCCTCAAACACTCCATAATGATTATCTCTTTTTGTGATGAAATTCAATAATGGTAAGCTGGCTGGTGTACTGGTACCACTGGCTATCATACTAACCAAAATGGTGCTCCTCCATCTGTATCCATCTCTTTGTCAACTCCTGTCTTATATTTAGATGTTCATACAAGTGTATTCTGTTTATGCACGACACATATTGGGACTAGCTCAATGGGATTCTAGTTCATGTGTAGGCCTTGCAGCCTAGCAATAATCATAATCATCATAATATATGCATGTTGACCATCTGTATGCTTGTCTCCTGTGGCCTCAAGAGCCAGTCTAGCAGCTAAGAATAGCTGAAGTGCCGCTGCAGTCCTAACAAGTCCCAAGTGAGGAAAGAGTTTTCGTCCTGGTTCTATAATCGACAGACACCTACTAGAAAAAATGAAAGGGAGGCCCTCACTTCTTGCTTTCTTCATAACAGCTCATACCAACGAAGGAGCTGACCTTGGACTCAGCCAGCTAAGTCACCAGAGCTCCTATAAGGGAGATGTGCCATGCCCCAACAGCTAACATAACTGAAACACTACTAGTGCTCTACCAGGCTTATTTTGAAAGTTGCAAGATTTCAGGAAAGGCTTGAGACAGTCTTAAAAGTGAGCTATGAATGTCAAACAGGCACACAGATAAACCTCTATTTGGCTGCCTTCTACATTTGCCTAACACCTGGGGTTGAGCAGTCAGTTAGTATGATTATAGGAGACTGTTTGAACTTCTGATCCCCCCTCTTTTTATTTTTTTTTCCTAATGATAATACCTTTCTCACAATAATAGAGAATAGAAATTGTGATGCTTTGTCTTTTGTCATAGGCAGCAAGTATGCCCCCCTCTTAGGTCTCTTGTATCTAAAACTAGGAATTAGGATTAAAGACTGCTGAAGCTATCCTATACAGACTGCAGACCACAGAGCAAAAGGAGTAGAAATTGGTGTTGCCCCAACATGATTGTTGCTGGTTTGAAATGACTTTTGGTAGGGGCAACAGATAATATGGTATAGAAATTGTAATTCATGTATAAACGGAAGTCAGAGGTGTATTGTGAAGGTTAAGTGCATCACAAAGGGAGCCAAAATAAAACATTTGGGGGAGCTGCTAACAACTCATCTCAGTGGTTCTTGCTTTCTCTGGTGTTGTTCTTTGTGCTTGGTATGAGCTCTCAATAATCAATGACAAAAACTTAGTCATTGTCACCAGGTAAAGCACTCTCATTATCATCATGTTCCCTCCCTAATGGATTGTGTTACTATGATGCCTATAAAAATTGACAGTAGCTAAGCTGCTAGCATGCAAAGATTTCTTCTTGGCATTCTGACCACTCTCATCATCTCCTCATGCCGCATCATCTTTTGTCTCATACTTCCGTGCTAACGCTTTGTGGTGTTACCTTTTGTTCTCTATTTGTGTATCACTCAAGGCAATAGTGTCTCTGAGCGGGTCTTATGTGTGCTATGGTAACATAATTTATGTTAATTGTCTATCACAATAGATAATAACAGGGAGATCAAAATTAAATTACAAAATCAAAATGCACATGTACAATATCATGACTTTGCTATCTGTCTCATAATTATTGATGCATGAACCTCACACTTATGAGTTTTAATGATATTTGCTATTTGTTGCCAAATATTACTGATATTTTTTTCAAACTATCTGTAAGTACTAATTACTGTGAGTTGTTAAATTTGTGCATATAGTCAGCTTACAGTTATCTGCAGGCAGATTGTTCATGTCACAGATAAATTGTGCCACAGATGCAAGCACAGCTTGGGTTCGATAGGGCTTATTAGCTCTAGCTCAGCGCTAGGTCTGCCAGGCCTTTGCTGGCTGCATATGGAATAATTTGGATGTCTGTGCAACGTGCTTGCTAGTGCAGCTCCCCATTACTTGATTTATTTGCTTGCATGTGGCACCGGAGTCATGCTAATTTTACTGGTTTGCTGAGCATTGTGCCCCAGAAGCAGCCCTTACCACGGGCAGTGGTAGTGCAGACACTAGAGCCTATGATTTCACAGTGTGGGAGTTCTGGCAGCATTTTTGCTGTAAGGATTACTGGGTTTAAAAACTCTGCAAAAACAGATTGATATTTTAATGTGTACTGTCAAGTGACAGCATGTGCAGTCAAAACCAATGGAGCACGCGTGATGGAGGGGAATTGAGGAACCTCCCTGGGCCCGTCCTGTAGCTCAGACACAGCTGGACAAACTAGCCTAGCTGGAAAGGACAAAGCTGTCCCCCTGTCCGCTGTCTGTATCCTCCATGCTTCAGGAGTGTGCAGGGTCACTTCTCAGGGTTTCTGTCACACGGTTTGCATACAAACAGCTGTCAGCCAGGACTGGGTCACTTTCTTGCCTTCCATAATGCAGAACACGTAACTTTACTCAGCTTTTATCAAGATGTCTATTTTCTGCACATGCAATACATGGTTGTTTGTCTTAAGCACGGGTGGAAAACTTTTTTCACTCCTCGCCCTTTGCGAAGGACCGGGCGGAGGTACCCCGGCCGCGGCGGCGCGGTGCGGTGAGGTGAGGTGAGGCGAGGCGAGGCGAGGTGCCCGCGCGGCCTTCCGCGCGCCGGGCCCGCTGCCGCGCGGCGCCGCCATTTCCCTCTCCCGGCCTCCGCCACCGGCCTCTTTCCGGCAGGAGGCGGGGACCGGCGCGGCACGGGCCGGCCCGGCCACAGGCGGTGCGCTGCGGAGCGCTGCGGAACGGCTCGGCCATGCAGCCGGAGCGGGGCGGCAGCCGGCCCCGCAGGGAAGGCGGGCGGCACGGCCGGAGGCGGCCGGGCGGCGCAGAGAGGCCGGCCGAGCCGGCGGCTGAAGGCGGCGGCAGAGACGGCCACGGCCGAGGAGGAGCCGGGGGCCGGGGAAGAGGCGGCGCTCACGGGCACCGAGGAGGCGGAGGCGGGGGCCGGGGCAGGCGAGAGCCCCGGGGCCGCGGGGCAGCGCCGCCGCCTGCTGCCCACCACCACTACCGGCGGGTAAGGAGGAGGAGGAGGAGGAGGAAGAGCAGAGCCCGCCCTCCGCGGCACGGGAGCGGGGGGAGGCGGGGCCGATGCCGCTGCCTCCCCTCGGTGCGGCCGGGCGGGCTCCGCGGCGTGGCTGAAGCGCGGGGGGGGGGGGAGGGAGCCGCGAGGGGGCTTCTGGCCAAGCCCGCCTGTGCGGTGAAGCGAGAGCCTTGTTGGGGAAGTGCAGCGCTGTTTGCAAATAGAGATGAGGAGCTGATGAGCGTTTTTGACGCAGCTGATTGCAAGCTGAAAGGAGCGCGTGTCTCGTCCAGCCAGCGGTACTGGCACTGCAAACACGGGGACGTGCTCAGCCTGCGGAGCGGGTGTCTGAGGGACCCGAACACGTGCCGTCACTGACCCCACGCGAAGCCTGTGCTTTGGCTAAATATATAAAGTGTGGCAACATGTTAAAGGGGACACAGACGTGCCTACCTGTAGCACAACTATGCTGTCAGTTTGCTCTGGAGATGTTAAAACACTTTATACAACCCACCAGAGTACGAGATCTACACTACACCTTTTAGAAAAATAATTTATAATAGAATATTCAAATTTGGGGGTTTGCAGTATGACATTCAGATTGTCTTGCTTTCTTTAGCATTGATGAAACGTAGAAATCATGATCGTCCGCGGAAAGGCAGAAAGATTGCAATCCCAACCTAATGCTGATTGGTGTTGGCAGCACTGGGAGTCCTAATGTAGACAGACCAGCTGCTACCCCATTTTCAGGATCAGGTTGATTAGATTCATTGTGACTTTTATGATGCCGTGGCTTCAGTTGGACCCAGCCAATGTTTTATCTGTATTAGAACACCCACGGATGCTGATGGGTTTCAAAAATCACAAAATATTTGGCCTCTTGTCACTGCATTTAGATGCATTTTAGCACTCATTTTAAGGAGAAAAATGCAGCTGGATTGGTACAGTTACCTAGAGCACTGGTTGGCAATTTCACTTGTTCGCAATACAGATTTCTGATTTCATACTGATGTGTGCAGACAGGTTTGAATTCTGGATATGAAACAGTAGTGCTCCCTCATGAGCCACAGAGGCATAGGGTGGAAGTTTAGTATTGGTATTAGCTGAAAAAAACATCCTGAGTTGATTTTGAGTTGTTGGTCTGTTTCTTACCAAGTTAAAACACATCTATATCTACATTCTCTCCAGTAGTGCTGTAATTGTCTCAGCATGACACATTTCATAATTTAAAAGATGTACTCAGTAAGGGAATCAAACATTATATGAATGCTTTTTCATCTGGATTATTGTTTGAAGTATTTTAGGAAGCAGTTCAAATATATATATTTTTTTGGGCAATTTACAATACGTTTTGCCTGATCACTGTGTTACTGACTTTGCTATGCTCTTTGTTTTAGCCTCGCAGTGACTTCATTTGTTTGTATAGGCTATGTGTGAAGTGAAGCAAGAGCTAAGGGCTTCCCAGAACTCTGCTAATCAATATTTAAGCATCATGCTTTTCCTGTGCTGGAGTCTTTTGGAATTAAGCACCATATGCTTTCATAGCACACCTGTCACAGACCTTGCATTTACTGATGTGCTCCCAGTGATCTAGCCATAGTGTCAACAGCTGTGGCAACACGCAGCTGGTGATGCCTAGTGTTAGTCTGAGCTAGTCAGAACATTTACCCCTTATGAAATGGAGGTCCTTTTTGCTCTCTATTTTTTCATCTGTGCAGTAATGTGAGTTCTCTTTTAGTGTTTTTGATATAAGCTAAGCTGTGTTTCTGAATGGATCCAGCCCTTAACTGGCAGGAAATTGACCTGTTTTATTTCTCCCTCCGTTCAGCCAGGTCACTTGTTTTAGACAAGTGCACCAGCTCAGCAAGAGGGAGCCTGACCCAGAGTAAGCAGTATGTGTGAGGGGGAGCCCTGCTGGTTTTTAGCTGCAGGGGGGCTGCGTTTCTCAAGTGGTGATGCGTAAATTTCATACCTGAAGAGCTAGGTAATAATACTGGTAATGTGAGTGGTTTATCCCATCACTTTTCTGACTGTATGCTGGGAACCCACAGCCTTCTATGAAAAATCTTTTTTTTTTTTTTTTCAAATGGGCCTTGAAATTCCCTGGAGTAGTGAGGTGGGAGATACTGAAATTTTGTAATATGTAGGACTTTGTAGGGCAATTTCATCCCTTTTGCTTTCCAGGGTAGAACATGTGAAAGATCATGCTGCCTTTCGCCAGTGTTGGTGTTGGTTTGGCATTTTGGAGGAATTTTCTTACTAGGATTCTTCTAGCATTGTATAATCAGAATTGAGATAATCTGGTATTATATCCTGAAAAAAATATAATTTAGAATTATAATTAAAAGTTATTAAAATATAACTTTTAATTTATTTCTACCTTATTTGTTTATAAAACTATTGCTGCTAAACTAGATATTTAAGTACTTTGTGATTACCAGACCTTTAGTTGTTTGCGATTTTTTTTTTATATATCTTCAGTTATGAAAAGCTTTAAGACAAAATCTACATCAAGTTGCATTAAAATAACTGGATATGGGTTTGTTGAGCCTGCTATAGACAGAGCAGTAAAATGCAAGTAAAATTATAGGTGAATGGGTTTAGGAAACCATCATAAGAGTGTCAGTAACACCAAACTTCATTAAAACACTTGGAAACACCTACCAGTTTTTAGGGTGAGCTAGAAATTGGCGTGAAATTGCATAACATTTTGGCAGTAATATTCCTTAGTAATTTGCATTCATTTGAAACCAATATGCATCTTCAAAATTTGTCTTTTTGATGTTTTAATTTAGTGGATCCTGATCCTGTTTTTGAAGCTACAGGAGGTTGTTATCTCTGACCTGTACAACAGGGATAAGAAAGCACAGTGGTGGCATGTTAGCATCTCAGGTTTCTGTGGGCCAGTGGGCTGGACACCACTTTATATGTTTGTACACTATTGTGTACAATATTGTCTAGAGCATGCTGTAATTCTTTTTATTTTACTAATAACTGTGCTCCTTTCAAATCCTGCCAAGACCTGGTACTTGCTGAGTCAGTTCTCTCCCTCTCTGATGGATGGTAATGTAGAAGGAGATCAGGGTGCTATTTGTTTATAAATAATAGACTTACTCTTACGGTAGGTTTAGATGTTGATCAAAATCTTAAAAGCTTTCATAATTACTATCAGCTATTAAGGAAATAGCTTCCTGTAGAACTCCATAGCGCTGCTGTTTAAGCAAGATTCTGCTTCTCATGGAAGTGTGGAATTGGCTTAGCAACTGGGAAGAAAAGTGCTCATTTCTTGTGAAAAAGAAAAAGTATCTTGCACTTGTTCAGTGTTATAACTAGCATGCACATTGATTTAACTGGCTTGACTGCTGAAGGCTTTGCATCCTTGTTTCAAAAATAGTATTAATCTGAAGTCTGATTGTGACCAGCTGGTTTACCAAATGGCAGATTTCTTTGCAGATCTGTCAGCTTGAATAATTTTATGTTGCTTCTGTCTGTTTTAACTTATCTAATCTATGTTAAATAAATAGAACACATTTGCAATTATTCATTTTTAGTAATATGAAATTATAATGCTCAAAGTAAAAGATCCAGTTGAAATTGGCCCAATATTATCTCCTTTTATCCTAACTCCTCTACTTTGCTTACAATTCATATCTGATTTTGTGTACTGTTATTTGTACTGATTTTTTTTTTAATATTTGTACTGTTATTATGTATTGATTTTTATCTACTGTTACAGTACTTTATGTACTATTTTGGATAGCTCTCTCTATAAAATATAGGTTATTTAAAAAAAAGAAAAAAAGCTAAATTTGTGGGCATGATACTGGGGTTTACTTTGATGGTCCATGGCCACGTCCTTCTGAGGGTGGTTTAAGAAAGATATTCTTCTAACTTTCAGTTATCACAAATTCTACATTGTGTGTGCATGTGATGCATGCTACTACTGAACTGCGTCTGGGATGGGCAGGTCTATTTCGATGTTCATTTCCTGACTTTGGGTGTCAGTTGCAAGTGGAAGTAGAGTAAATTGATTTTAGTGCATTCTTTCTTACCTCGTGCATTCACTCTTTGACAGTTTCAAGATGACATCATCAAATTTACGTTATCAGCATCAGATATATTTTTCCTCATTAGTATGTGCTGAAACTTTATGGTCTAAGCAACTGCAAAAAGCAATCTGTTCATAGGCAGCTACTTAGTAACAAAAGCTTGGATTTTTTTCAAATACATAAACATTTGTTTTCCTATAGAGCACTGTAACACATACAGGAGAAGAAATTGATTCCTAGAACAACGTATCTTTTGATGCATGTTCTACAATGCAACTAGGAAAAAACTTATTTAGATCAATGTATATCAATGCGCGAGCTGAACTTAATTACTAATGAGGTGCGAAGAGCTTCCCTTCGCAGGAGTTTCTCTACTGCGATGAGGCGTGAAGAGCCACTATCTGCCTGACTGAAGTGTGGCTTGCTTTATCTGGAGTGTATTGATTTAGATTAAGTCTCTTGATGACTGCGTGAACAAGTGGTTGGGAACTTCTTCACGGTTCAAGTGTCAAATCGGTGTTCGTTAAATGGGATTCTGCAAGGCTTCATTCTGTATCTGCGTGCATCCAGTATTTCTATTAATAATTCTGATGAAGGAGTGAAATAGCTCCAAAATGTGCAGGCAGTGCTAAGGAAGGGAAGGCAGAAGGGTGGAGCGCAGAGCTGGCGTTTAGCACAGCCTCAAGAAATGAGAGAAAGAGACTGCAGGAAGGTGTAGCTCAAGGTCACATTTTACACAACTATATTTAAGTAGGAAAAATCTGCAGAAGGATGCGATTGGTTTTGCTGCAGTTCTATAGAAAGCAACTGCCGGCTTAATAGATGAGCGGGTATTGAACTCTAGGCCGGTTCTCTTCAACTTTCCTGTCAGTGGTCTGGAGTTTGCTGGCTGTACTACCCGGGGAGGTGCTCTTGGCACCCGGGAGGAGCAAGAGGCCTTGCACA